TTATATCTACTCACAATTATATTGTTTGAATGAGATTTGACCTTGATTACTGTTCATTATTTTCATATTTAATGAAAGTCTACAAAATCTTTCACAATATTAAATACTCACAAACAATACACTGTCTACAGAATCCATTTCTCTCAATTGTTTCTGTGATTCTTTATATGAATAAACAACCAAAGCAATATCATTATTAAATTAAATGTAATATTTTTCATATAGCAAAATGAAGTACAAAATCTACAGCAATATCAAAATTAAATTCTCTTCATTTAACATGATGGTAAAAACTAAATATCAACATAAATTCATGCTTGGGGTTTAAAAATGGCACAGCATTTAGACAATCTTTTATAATCAATAAAAAATCATCTGATAAGTTGATATCTCTAAAATTCAGATTCTTTTTCACATGTTTCATATCTATTATTGACTTCAATAAACATTATCAATATAAGAATTCTTTTACCCTCTTTGGATAATCCTTCAAAGTATTATGCAGAGTTTAAAATATTTTTTCTTTGTTCAGACTTCAGAGCTGTACATGACTCAGATTTAAATAATGAGATTATATCACATGTCTGTCAATATATTGTAAAATCTTAAGGAACTTTTAAATATTACAGTTGAATCAACTACGCACATATAATCAGGTTTTTCAACCTCAGAATCAACTTAGGTCTGTTACAATTGTTTTCCATACAATAAGGACCGGGACATACAATCAACACAGACTTACAACCCGTCAACTGTTTAAGTATCAAGACTAAACATAAAGAAACATTTACATGTACAAACAAATAGGAATTATCCTGATTCTATGATGAAGAAAATCATTTAAAGCTAATTTTAAGCTACTTTTAATTAAGAATCAAAAGAATACATCAGAAGAAACATTTATAATGAATCCCTGAAAGTTCTAGAGGTATGAAAACAAAGACATGGTAAAGCTTCTATGACACCCTGATTACAGTCTTGAACACACAATCAACAACAAATAATCATAGAGGTCAGAGCCCACTGAGAACCAAACAAAGAAATCAAGTTATCTAACAGTTCTGATTGGCTCTTAAATAATCCCAGTAAAATTATATGACCAGTCAACTAAAAGAAATCTAACAGTTGTGATTGGCTCTTAGATAATCCTAGTAAAATCTAGACATGCCAATCAACAAAAAGATATATAACAGTTCTGATTGGTTAGATATTTACAATAAAACATCTCACTACCTATCAAAAAGAGGATATTTAACAATTCTGATTGGTCATACTTCCCAATATTTGCATATCCACTGCTCTCTCCCACTATGAACATGTAGTCATCAACTGCGTTTATAGGACTATAGACGCAATTGCTTTTGATATGAGTGCAATTGCTTTATCACTTTCGTGTAGAACAAATTCTACTACAAGTAAAAAACGTGCTGAGAAGTATATATATGAAATGTTTCATAAAAGGAATAAAAATAAGTTTTTAATAATATTCTTTAGAAAAAAAAAATTCAGAATATTTAAAATTGCTGATTTATACCTTTAAAAATTCAATTTTGGTCATTGTATTTAATTGTATAATAAAACTTTTTAAAATTGTAGATAACTGCCATATTTTTATTTTTTCATATCATATATATTTGTACAAAGAAAGATAACTCTTCACACTTGGGTAATAACACTCAGAAAGAGGACATTTTTTACTTCAAGAATGATTTCAGCTATTAAAAATAAATATGAAAAGCTAAAAAAAAAAATCATAGAAAAGCATTCTGGAATAATAATCATTATAAAAGCATCTTCATTTTTCATCAGTGTTAAATTATTGATTTTTGTCAGAGGGTTTCAATAACGTTGATCGATGACGTCACAACTGCATCAAAACAAAAATTTAAAAGAGAATGTGATGATGGCGCTGCTTGTATCCAGATAACTGTTTGAGAGGGGAATGCTTTATAAATTGTTTGTGATTTATTAGAGTAAAGGATCATTGATCAGGTGTACTGATTTTAAAGCCGTATGTTTTTCATTACTGAAGACAAGAAGCCGCGTCCTCATGTAAGTCAGGATTTCCTCTGATATTCTTTAAAAAAATCAAAGAATGCAAATATAAGTAATAAACAACGATTATTCAGTGAACATGGCATTATGAATAGCAACTGCTCTGCTGGCATATTTTCCATGATGCGCTAGCGCGCATCATGGAATATGCCAGCAGAGCAATTGCTATTCATAACGCCATGTTCACTGAATAACGTTGTTTATTTCTTAAATAATACTCTAACTACCAATCAACAATAGGACATCAAACAGTTTTGATTGGTTCTTAGATATTCCCAGTTGAACCTCTAACGGCCAATCAACTTACATAAATCTGATATTTCCGATTGGTCCATTCCATAGTTTTTTAATAATGACATAAATAAGGAGAGTACTAAACATAAAATGGTCACGGCTTTTTATTTCAGACCCTATCTAAAAGTTGTATATATAATTTTTTTCGTCTTTTCAAGACGAGAAAGAATATGTAATCAGGTTTTTTGTAGGATAGATAATAAAAATTTCATCCCCTAAACTCTTTCAATTTTGTGCGAAAAAATTCTAAGTCCAAATTTAAAAGTTTTGAGGGCATAAAAATCTTAAAAGATGTCTTATGATAAAAGTTATTACATATTCTTTCTCGTCACATTGATGCGCTATTGAAAATGCTTTTTGGGGCTGATTTCTATAATTTTCCAACTATATAGATATACTTTACATATTATGTTCATCTTAAAAAGCAGTAATTGTTTATACAAAAGATAATATAAAATCTTTATTTAAAGGGAGGTTTAGACCCTATGAGCATTTTTTAGAGTGTGAAAAAAAATTCTGAGTCCAAATTCAGAGTTTTAGGGGCATAAAAATCTCAAAAGATGTCTTATGATAAAAGTTATTACATATTCTTTCTCGTCACATTGAGACAAAGAAAATGATATAAGGCACATTAAGATAGCTCCACAAATAAAAATTTCATCCCTAAAAAGGAATTATTTCAATGTGAAAATTAAGGTCACAAGAAGTTCCTTAAAATTAAAAAGGTTTTAGGGGTCATTTTTTTTGTTTGTTATCCTATATTGATGTTCTATATATCATTTTTTTCGTCTTTTCAAGACGAGAAAGAATATGTAATCATATTTTCTGTAGAGTATATAATAAAAATTTCAGCCCCTAAACTCCTTTAATTTGGACTTAGAAAATTTTCAGTGCGCTATTGAAAATGCTTTTTGGGGCTGATTTCTATAATTCTCCAACTATATAGATATACTTTACATATTATGTTCATCTTAAAAAGCAGTAATTGTTTATACAAAAGATAATATAAAATCTTTATTTAAAGGGAGGTTTAGACCCTATGAGCATTTTTTAGAGTGTGAAAAAAAATTCTGAGTCCAAATTCAGAGTTTTAGGGGCATAAAAATCTCAAAAGTTGTCTTATGATAAAAGTTATTACATATTCTTTCTCGTCACATTGAGACAAAGAAAATGATATAAGGCACATTAAGATAGCTCCACAAATAAAAATTTCATCCCTAAAAAGGAATTATCTCAATGTGGAAATTAAGGTCACAAGAAGTTCCTTAAAATTAAAAAGTTTCAAGGGGTCAATTTTTTTTGTTTGTTATCCTATGTTGATGTTCTATATATCATTTTTTTTCTTTTCAAGACGAGAAAGAATATGTAATCATATTTTCTGTAGAGTATATAATAAAAATTTCAGCCCCTAAACACCTTTAATTTGGACTTAGAAAATTTTCAGTGCGCTATTGAAAATGCTTTTTGGGGCTGATTTCTATAATTTTCCAACTATATAGATATACTTTACATATTATGTTCATCTTAAAAAGCAGAAATTGTTTATACAAAAGATAATATAAAATCTTTATTTAAAGGGAGGTTTAGACCCTATGAGCATTTTTTAGAGTGTGAAAAAAAAATCTAAGTCCAAATTCAGAGTTTTAAGGGCATAAAAATCTTAAAAGATGTCTTATGATAAAAGTTATTACATATTCTTTCTCGTCACATTGAGACAAAGAAAATGATATAAGGCACATTAAGATAGCTCCACAAATAAAAATTTCATCCCTAAAAAGGAATTATTTCAATGTGGAAATTAAGGTCACAAGAAGTTCCTTAAAATTAAAAAGGTTTCAGGGGTCAATTTTTTTGTTTGTTATCCTATATTGATGTTCTATATATCATTTTTTTTGTCTTTTCAAGACGAGAAAGAATATGTAATCATATTTTCTGTAGAGTATATAATAAAAATTTCAACTATTTTTTGGGGCAGTCACAAACTTATACATTTCAATCAATATACCTCAATAAATAACACAAGATGTAGCTAGATTCAGTATCACTAACATCATTGTCATTTTAACCCTGTGCTTAAAAAGCTTCAGCCCACACAAGATTCATTTATTGTTTCGTTCAGAGTCATCATTTCGTAAGTTCTATGGTCGATACAATGACCTTGTCAGCAAATGCAATTTATCATGGAGTCAAATGCTGACTGACATTTTTCATACCAATTGTTAATCCATTATTTAAACACTGAATTGACAACGGATTTTCCCGTTATTTCCCGATCATGACAAGGAGCACACTGTGGGATGCCAACTCCTCCATGGCACCTGATCCCATCGCTGAAGTTTTGGAGGTCTGTGTTTGCTTTGTTCCTGTTTTGCATTGTTTTATGGACTTTAATATTGAATACTGTTCATAATCTCCATATCCTTCCATTACAAATAATCTCTGATGTTTATAGAGACGTGTTATATCTGCTCACAATTTTATTGTTTGAATGAGATTTGACCTTGATTACTGTTCATTATTTTCATATTTAATGAAAGTCTACGAGATCTTTCACAATATTAAATACTCACAAACAATACACTGTCTACAGAATCCATTCCTCTCAATTGTTTCTGTGATTCTTTATATGAATAAACAACCAAAGCAATATCATTATTAAATAAAATGTAATATTTTTTCATATAGCAAAATGAAGTACAAAATCTACAGCAATATCAAAATTTAATTCTCTTCATTTAACATGATGGTAAAAACTAAACATCACACATAAATTCTTCCATATGATGCATGCATGCTTGGGGTTTAAAAATGGCACAGCATTTAGACAATCTTTTATAATCAATAAAAAATCATCTGATAAGTCGACATATCTAACATTCAGATTCTTTTTCACATGTTTCATATCTATTATTGACTTCAATACACATTATCAATATAAGAATTCTTTTTCCGTCTTTGGATAATCCTTCAAAGTATTATGCAGAGTTTAAAATATATTTTTCTTTGTTCAGAGCTGTACATGACTCAGATAAATATAATGAGATTATATCACATGTCTGTCAATATATTGTAAAATCTTAAGAAGCTTTAAAATATTACAGTTGAATCAACTATGCACATATAATCAGACTGGTCAACCTCAGATTTAACTTAGGATTGTTACAATTGTTTTCCATACAATAAGGACCGGGACATATAATCAACACAGATTTACAACCCGTCAACTGTTTAAGTATTATGACTATACATAATGAAACATTAACATGTACAAACAAATATAGGAATTATCCAGATTCCAAGATTAAGAAAATCATTTAAAGCTGATTATAAGCTAGTTCTAATTAAGAATCAGAAGAATACATCAGAAGAAACTTAATAGTGAATCCCTGAAATTTCTAGAGGTAAAAAAACAAAGACAGGGTAAAGCTTCTATGATACCCTGATTACAATCTTGAACACTCAATCAATAACAAATAATCATAGAGGTCAGAGCCCAGTGAGAACCAAAACAAAGAAATCAAGAAATCTAACAGTTGTGATTGGTTCTTAGATAATCCCAGTAAAACTTATATGGCCAATCAACAAAATGATAAATAACAGACCTGATTGGTTACATATTCCAAATAACACATCTCACTACCAATCAAAAAGAGGATATTTAACAATTCTGATTGGTCATATTTGGTAATGATACTCCAACTACCAATCAACAATAGGATATCAAACAGTTCTGATTGGTTCTTAAATAATCCCAGTAAAACCTCTCACAGCCAATCGACAACTTACATAAATCTGATATTTCTGATTGGTCCATTTTGTAATTAATAATGATCTAAATAAGGAGAATACTAAACATAAATTGGTCACAGCTGAGGATTTCATGGTTGCTCTGTTGTGTCACATGTGTCAATCACTTGTATCATAATCAATCCTAGTTTTGTAACCACAGATATCTTTCTGATAAATGATCCCTGCTTTTTCACATATATCAAGCACAACATCATATTTTTAAGGCATAATTAGAATAAATTTGAATTCATTTGGTAAAGTTATGCCTACAGAAGGGGATTTCTAAAACCTTAACATCAACATCATATAATAAATGTATCTACACGTTAAAGACATATTATAAAAGCTGATTTGTCGAATCAAAGATTATAAAAAAAAACCTTTGACAAAGAATGAACTTAAAACTGTTTCTATTTCTAATTATCATTTTTAACATTCATGCAGATTATGGGGTACATACTGCTGGAACTATGAACATAGTTAACAATTTATGCATGAGGTGGTGTCTAAAATTGGAGAAATGTAAAATTAACTTACAAGTCATAGCTAACAAAAAAATATTATAAATAAACGAATGGATAAGGTAAGAGCTATAATTGAAATATTTCTAATTAAAGCATGTGTTAATTAGATTTGGCTTTGACTCCATTGGTAACAGCTCCGTTGGTCTTTGGTTTTTTATAGGCGTTTCTGTAGAAGTCTGCGAACATGATGAGGAATATAACAGCGTAGGCTAGAATCCAGTAAACAAACAGTGTGGGGTAGTTACAGTCAATAAACAACAGCTGTATAGAATGGATCGTTACCAGGATAAACTGGGTCTGTTAGATAAAAAAAGATTCCTTATTAATGTGTTAACATGTAAATTTGTGTATGACTTAAGTCAACTTTATAGCATTTATTTATCAGTTAACAAAATTATGAATTGGAATAGCTGCAGGACTGTTGTGGTTTTAAAATTAGTCTTTGACCATAAGGCTACAGATGCTGTAATGCAAAAAAGTGCATTTTTTGGCACAAAATTTCTTGCCCACAGTTTGGGAGCATTTCTTCCCTTTCCAGCGTTGGTAAATCATCTTTCTTTCTCTTCCTTATTCCAGACACATTTTTAAATGAATTTGTATATTCTATCCATCTGTTTAAAATTCTTTATACATAGTCTCCTCTTTAGGCAATAAAGTAGCTTGATTTGAATTCTCCATTCTAAATCAAGCGAGTTTATCACTTGTAAAGACCACCTAATAGGGTCATGAGGTGAGTAAAATATACAAATTTCCTTAAAATGTGATTTACCAATGATGGGAAGTGGAGAAATTCTCCCAAAACAGTGCGAAAAAAGTCTTACATTGTATTTTTACTTTTTTTTGCATTAAAGGATCTGTAGCTTTAGGGTCAAAGACTAATAAACAGTTCTGCAACTACGATTAGATGAAACTAACTTTTGTGGAATCATTAATTATTATGGTCGCTCAATTTTCATGGAATTTGTGGGATTCCCTCATTCACGAATTAACACCCTTCACAAATTAATTTACTTAAATGGTTATAAAGTCACATTTCCTTTCCTAGGTTTAAGAGAAGACACAAAAAACATACCCTCATACTAATATAAAAACAATGGAATTGTTACATTAACTGATATGTAAATGTTACTCTTGGGAAACCAAAAGAAAGAAGATAAATTAGGCCATATAAAATTGAAATCTTGGTTCTCAGGCCCGCGCGCATCCGTTTTGAGGTAGCCGCATTGCCGATTTTATCGTATTTTTGATAAAATAAAAAGTTGGTCTTGCGGAGACCAATCCGGGAAAAAAAAATTCCGACCTCATTTGTTTCGTAGTTTAGTATTCAAATATCACTTCCGGTAGCCATTTACAATGAGATTTTGGCTACTTCGTTTGAAAATACATTCCAGGACATTACCTACAATGTTTACACGCTGTTAAGTAATGGATAAAGCAGAAATTTTGACCAGAAATGGAAAGAATATCTGTGATTAAAAAATTATCTTTATGTTGAAGAAAATTCGGAAATTAAAATTTAAAAAAATACCTTCCTCATCTACTTTATTGCCAATAAAATGAAAAATAAAATGCCACCCTCCCGCATCTGTTTTGGAGAAAATTGGCCTGAGAACCAGGGAATTAAATTTAGATAGCCTTATGCACTTATCACTTGACATAAAATTGATTGTGACCCACTTACTATCTGCATAGATGTCATATACTTTTTCCACCAGAGGTATTTCTGGTACTGAGGACCCAAGGCTGCCATACCATAGTAAGTGTACATTACCAGGTGTATAAAGGATTTCAGCATCGAGTGGAAGGTGCCAAACCCACCTAAAAGTCAAAATACACAGGGTCAGGGAAAGGTACAAAAATTCAATTTTAAATTACTTCAAGGACAAAAGCTGAGGTCAATAACAAATGCTTGAGGTCGAGGACAATTTCCTGTGACCTGGGCAAATTCAAAATTAAGATTTTTATGCACAACAATTAGAGAGAATGAAAAATCTACCGAATTACCTCCTACAAATTTGACTCCAAACCACCAGGAGAAGGGCATAATTCCATGGTGAAAAACATGTAAAAATGAGGCCTGGTTAAACTTCTTCCTCATCACAAAGAAAACCTGAAAATATTGACTTCAGTTTTACATTCAGAGGCTGAATTGTTTTTTTTTTTCATTCTATTGTTGAAATGGTAATCTTGTATGATAACAAATCTTCTAGAATTACAAGTTGAAGATTGAAGAAAACTTACCGTGTCAAAAAGTTCAATAAATTTAGAAAAATAAAACATCCAGCAGACTTTCAGCATCTGAAAATAAATAAAACCTCCGTTATAACATGAGTTATAGCTGGTATTAGTTATTGTTATTCAAAAGAATACTAATTTATAAGGCCAAGGACAAGACTTAAAAACATTAATGCCATGATGGACCAGGGACAGCATAATGAAAATGATTTATAATACAGACCCTAGCAATAAAACCTTTGTGTGATACAGACCCCAGCATTAAAACCTCTGTATGATGCAGACCCTAGCATTAAAACCTTTGCATGACACAGACCCTTGCATAAAAACCTTTGTATCATACACACCCTAGCATTAAAACCTTTGTATGACACAGATCCTAGCATTAAAACCTTTGTACATGTATCATACAGACCCTAGCATTAAAACCTTTGCATGACACAGACCCTAGCATTAAAGTCTTTGTATCATACAGACCCTAGAATTAAAACCTCTGTATGATACAGACCCTAACATTAAAACCTTTGTATGATACACCTAGCATTAAAGTCTTTGTATGATACAGACCCTAGCATTAAAACCTTTTTGTGAAACAGACCCTAGCATTAAAACCTTTGTGTGATGCAGACTCTAGCATTAAAGTCTTTGTATAATACAGACCTTAGCATTAAAACCTTTGTATGATACAAACACTATCATTAATACCTCTGTATGATACAGACCTCACATTGAACCCTTTGTGTGATACAGACCCTAGCATTTAAACCTTTGTATAATACAGTCCCTAGCATTAAAACCTTTGTGTGATACAGACCCTCACATTAAAACCTTTGTATGATACAGACCCTACCATAAAAACCTTTGTATGATACAGAATCTAGCTGTATGATACAGACTCTAGCATTAAAACCTTTGTATAATACAGACTCTAGCATTAAAACTTTTGTGTGATACAGACCCTAGCATTAAAACTGTTGTATGATACAGACCCTAGCATTAAAACATTTGTATGATACAGACCCTAGCATTAAAAGCTTTGTATGATACAGACCCTAGCATTAAAACCTTTGTATGATACAGACCCTAGCATTAAAACCTTTGTATGATACACCTAGCATTAAAGTCTTTGTATGATACAGACCCTAGCATTAAAACCTTTGTATGATACAGACCCTAACATTAAAACCTTTGTATGATACATACCCCAGCATTAAAACCTTTGTATGAAACATACCCCAACATTAAAACCTTTGTGTGATACAGACCCTAGCATTAAAATCTTTGTGCGATACAGACCCTAGCATTAAAGTCTTTGTATCATACAGACCCTAGCATTAAAACCTTTGTATGATACAGACCCTAGTATTAAAACCTCTGTATGATACAGACCCTAACATTAAAACCTTTGTATGATACAGACCCTAGCATTAAAACCTCTGTATGATACAGACCCCATCATTAAAACCTTTGTATGATACACCTATCATTAAAGTCTTTGTATGATACAGACCCTAACATTAAAAACTTTGTATGATACAGACCCTAGCATTAAAACCTTTGTGTGATACAGACCCTAGCATTAAAACCTTTTTGTGAAACAGACCCTAGCATTAAAACCTTTGTGTGATGCAGACTCTAGCATTAAAGTCTTTGTATAATACAGACCTTAGCATTAAAATCTTTGTATGATACAAACACTATCATTAATACCTCTGTATGATACAGACCTCACATTGAAACCTTTGTGTGATACAGACCCTAGCATTTAAACCTTTGTATGATACAGTCCCTAGCATTAAAACCTTTGTGTGATACAGACCCTCACATTAAAACCTTTGTATGATACAGACCCTAGCATTAAAACCTTTGTATGATACAGAATCTAGCTATATGATACAGACTCTAGCATTAAAACCTTTGTATAATACAGACTCTAGCATTAGAACTTTTGTGTGATACAGACCCTAGCATTAAAACAGTTGTATGATACAGACCCTAGCATTAAAACATTTGTATGATAGAGACCCTAACATTAAAACCTTTGTATCATACAGACTCTAGCATTAAAACCTTTGTATGATACAGACCCTAGCATTAAAACCTTTGTATGATACAGACCCTAGCATTAAAACCTTTGTACGATACAGACCCTAACATTAAAACCTTTGTATGATACAGACCCTAGCATTAAAATCTTTGTATGATACAGACCCTTAATCCTTTCTCTGAGTAATCTACAGGTTGACATCTCAGACTGTACCCATTTAGCCACCCAGCCAGCAGAAACTGAGAAAAAGAAACTTCTCATTGAAATTTGTAAGCATCAGAAACAAAAACAGAGCCTAATATATATTTTCTAAGTTTAATAATTCTTTACAATATGATATGGTAAATGATCTTGAAAATGGTAAAATAGATTTATTATGAATTTAATGTACAGGTATATCCAGAACTGATTTTATAAACTCACCTCCACAAAGCAGTAGGTTGATAAGAGAACCATACAGAAGTTGTAGACAATCAGAATCTTCTTCATCTCAAACGGTTCTCTGTTGGCCATAATGGTGGGTCCCATCTTAACAAACACAAAGTAGGCCACACAGATGATGAGGCTGGGCCAGGGAGTGGACATCATAAACCAGCCGTCCACTCGCGGATCTGAAGGAGAACAAAAATAATGGTAGAAAATAATACATTCTGTTTATTTAAATATAAATACTGTGGAGTCTTATTTAGTCCTAATAAGAGTCAATGTCCATGCACAGTCAAAGAAAAATTTTTGTTGATTGGGAATGGAACTGCTCAAAAAACTTCAACCATGATCCTGTTCAACATAACAAACATTCGCCAGCGCTTCCCAAAATTACTTATACCTTCCATAGAAAAGTTTGCATGCACTCGCTCTGTTGAGCAGACCTCTGGTCACTCATCTGGAAAATATAGGTCAGATCCAAAGCAAGTCTGGTTGTTTCTATCCCTAGGTAGGACTTATAGTGACTTGGGAATAGACCCTGCTCCTTAAAGACACCAGGACACCGATGCTAACGCTGTTACTAATCATGACTAATGCTACAGGTATAACATAAGCTCATCTCAATTTTGTCAAGCTGATCGAGCTAAGAAGTATTCTATATCAAAACTTATGTCTTAAGGTATGTGACTCATGAAATTTACTATATAAAGGATTTTTTTAGAAGTAAATTTTAGATAATAACTCATGTGACACAACTCAAAATTGCAAAAAAATAAGCGGGGAGGGGGAGGTCATGAAGCATCTTACTGAGCTATGGTATAATTAAGTTGACTTTTTTACACTTTAAATGTAACTTTTTGGTAAATCACTTTCATCTTGATATTTATTTTTCATAAGATTTAAATATGGCAAAAAAATTCAATTAAGTTTACAACAAAAAATAATTTGAATACTGGTAAATATTATCATTGAACAAATCACGCAAATTAATGTTCATAAATTATAAAATTAACTTGGAAAGGCTTAACTCAATAATAACAACTAGTTGTAGAAGAGATACAAAATTGCTCATTTTTCATTCATATATTTTTGATATACTGATTAAAGGTGGTTTATTGTTTGAATAAAATTATTGTACAATATCTTAAATGGTACAAGTAATATCAGTACTATAAAAGGAAAGTGGATATCTTGGAATTTTTCCATACTATTTATAAAACCTGAAACTTTTTATATCAAAATGGGCTTCATTAGAAACTCACAAATGTAAGTTTTAATGACAGGAATGCATAATTATAATAATGTTTAGATAATCTGAATCAGTGCATTTTGTTGACAGAAAAATTAATTTCAACTTTTTACATCATAGTATTAAACCATCTGGTACCAAAAAAATTAATCATTAAATATAAGACACATTTCTTTCTTTTTTATTTTTGAAAAATGAATGAATTGATTAATAAAATTATTCTTCTATGAATAAAATTAAAATAAAAATAATACAATTTCTAGAAAACAAAAAAAAAAAATAATAAAACATAAGTAAATAAACCAATCAATGAAGATAATTATGTTGATTTACAAAAGTAAAACAATCATCATACAAGATTAAAATTCCACTTTATTCAACACCAGAAGGACAGCCATAGAACACATATCAGAGTCATGCAGTGTTTGTGGGACTGAGTCAAAAAGTAGGGACATCACAACTTGTGGCCATGAGGAGAGATGTCATGGACATCAGGGATATAGTGGACAATAAAGTGAAAGAAAGTCATCAGCTCAGTATGATGGTGAGTGGGAGTCAAAGAGAAGGATTCAGACTGAAAGGATCAGATGTAGACATTATGATTTGGCCAAATAATCACCATGTGATCTGGGAATTATCTCAGTCTCAGTATTACAACACACACAGACAGACACTGATCCTCTGTGACTGTTCTGATAGTCCACCAGGATTCACTTTGTTACATTTACTGTCACCAAGCATGGGCAGACAAGTCCAGGAAGCCTGTGTTAGAATGAATAACAGATATTATATATCTAGTTCTATATACAGACAGTTCACATGTTTTGTATCCCCATCAACTTCCACTCAACATGGACCCTGTGCCAATGGAACAATTGGAACACAAGAATTTGATAATGCTCTCTGTTTTGTCAGTGACTTTTGGCCTCCATCTGCCTCCTCATGGATAGACAGATGTCAGGCATGGCTCCAGCCTCATGTTGTTGACGAAGTACCGTTATTTTCGGATTATAGGTCGATACTTTTTTTCTCAGAACCGCTGAGGTCGACCAATATACGAATTCGACCTTTCTAAGGCTCAAGTTTACGAAAAATGCCCCAAAATCAATAAAATTTACGTCAATTTCAAAGCAAATCTGTGCCACTTTCATAACTTTTTTCATTATTTTACGCAGAAAAATTAATGCCCAGGTAAACAATAAAATATTTATTCTATAGCTTTCTTACAAAATAAATTCCATTACATATCCGTTGATGACAAAGGAAAAAACTGTGCTTCATCAAGTAAATAATTCTCAACGTGTTATCCATTGCCTTCATGCGGTAGCCATCTTGTGAAGTTAGGAAGTCGCTACCTTTTACTAAAAGTAAAACCGCAACCGTATCAAAATTTAAAATACGGAAAAATTTTTCAAGATCACAACTGTAGTGTTTTACCATTTATTAGTAGATGGATAAATTGAAATAGTATTATTTTTTTTTATTGTGACAGTCTTATATTTATTTATGTGTAAAATGAGAGAAATATATTTTGCCAGTCAATTCCTAAATTTAATTACCAAATGAACCGATAGTCATTACTATACATTTTTTTATTTCATTTAATTATAATACCGGTCAAACGAATTAGCGCTTTACAAAGATTGGCTTCTAACAGAATTTTAATTGTCTCACAGATAAAAGGATTTACACTGTGTGTACACGCAAAGGTTTTAACACCTGTGTTGGTTTGATACCCTCAGGGCATGATTAGCAAATCCACGTGCCGTTATAGGGTATTAGTGTTACACATCATTGAACAAACAAAGCCATGAAATTCATAATGACTGTCAAATTGTGAATGTACCGGTACTCTCAATTAAATATATAATTAAACTTATAGCGTGGTAATATTATTTCAAATCTTTACTGTTGCTTTATATATACATTCAAAGGTCGTTTGCGGGTTTTAGCAAATCCCTGAAGAACAAAACTGAAAATGGCGGACATCGAAGCAATTGTCGTCTACCGGTAAATAATGTCTGAATAAAATATATTAGGAATGTGTCCAAGTTGTTCTAAAATCAGAATTATTATTCTTTGTTCTCGGGTATTTCCCGAATTATAGCTGTAAAATAAGAACGTGTTTACGTGTTATTTATGCCTCTGGTTTAACAACAGTATGAAACTACGGAGGCATTGAACAGGCAAGTTGGAGAAAAATAAGTAGTAACACAATTCAACGAAGTTTTAACTACATTTTTTTAAAAACTTTATTTAAATTCTGTACTCATTAAAATACCTGTTTGTTTTCTTGATACGTTCATGTCACGGAATTACCCCGGTAATTATAGAGGTTTACCTGTTCTGATATCTGCGTAAGAATCTTTAGAAAACGGGAAACAAAGCCTCGTCCTATATAGTAAGTTCGTCCTATCTTTGGATTTTTCAAAAATTAAGGCTGAAAATGAGCCTTTCGACCTATATACCCCATCGACCTATGACCCGAAAATTACGGTAGTTAAAAATGGATGTCACTTTGTAGCAGTCGGACATAAGCTAGGAATTCATGAAGATCATGAATGTAGTTTCTTTCTCTAAAGCAGAATATAAACCAGTATGTGCAATGAATCACTGTCAATTCTTAACATATGGCTTGCTTAAATTGTTCTTAACAGAAATAATTAACAATGGATTAAGTGAAGATGATAAATTACTGTGTTCCTATAACATGAAGACAGCAGTTTTCTGGGTGATTCAACAAAATAAAATACCCCACTGGTGTCCACAAAATCTCCTGGGGTGTTTCTGGGTCTGTTTCAAATTCATTCTCAAATGGGTGTATGAGGGGGTTTGTCCTAACTTTTTCATTCCAGTCAACAACATGTTTCTGAGTAAAATTCATGGTGAAACGCAACATCAACTATTTATTAGACTGTATGGGTTGTATGAGAAGGGTATAACAATCCTGCTATACATTCCCTCCATTAGGTCTTATATTATAGATGTCCTTTATAAACCCAGACTCTCTATCTGTGCAGATATACAAACTCTGATTTCTGAATATGAATTTGATAGAAATCTATTTGGTGAAATATTACTTGATGACATAATACAGATATTGGACTTAAAAAGCTGTACTAGATATCTACATACAATAGAACAGGTAATAGGTTCACCACTCCTGACACAGTACCAAGTCCTTACCCTAAAGAAACATACAGCGAATGTCCTTCAGCAAACAGCTTTTATATTACACATGGAAACTTACACACATACAAACAAACTGAGGTATAAAGCTGACAAAATGTCCTGTTACATGCTGAAATTGACAGCCAAGTTTGGTTTTATTTCTGACAGGTTGTACATAGCTTAATGTATTATTACAAGACACTTAGATATGTGAAAGCTTTATCTGTTATAGAGATGATCAAGGTCAAGTTAGCACAGCCATATGTGATGCACTGGTATAATGTAGATACAGAGAGGTATATTGAGGCTATAGGGGGACAGTCCTGGTCTACAAAGATGAGACAGGTTGTTGTAGGATATATCATACTTGACACTAGAATCCATTACATCAGTGAACTGATACCTGAAAAACAGTCTGCTCTACAGAATGAAGAGTCTACATTAAATGTCCCACCCTTGATACTGTTCAAAATGCTAGAGATCTTGTGCTACAAACATGTAGGCACAATGCAAGTACAAACAGCTCTAGATGATCTACAGACCCTAGTTCACAATGATCAGGGACAGCTGATAGATTCAGATTACAGAGACATATCATGGAAGATTCTGTGCATCTGTCAACGGGTAACAGGGAACCTCCAGGCTGCTCTATACTCATACCATCAATCTCTCAAGACAAGAACCATTCAATGAATTACTTAAAGAATCACTGTCTAGTTAGTATAGTATGCCAGGGCATCAATGATAATGGGAAACATGGTATAATTTGCATAAACGGCCAAGCCCGTTATGCATAAACTTTTCCATGTTTCCCACTATCGTTGATGCCCTGGCATACTTTACTAACTAGACAGTGATTCCTTATATTTCCATATCATCGTGAAATAAAATTGTAAATTCAGAATTTAAAAATGTAGATTAATAGATTTAATTTACATGAGGACTTCCATGCCAATTCAATAGTCCTCGTTCACTGACGTCAAACACAAATGCAACCACATGAGATTTACATGCATATTTGGCCTCCTTAGCGTCAGACACAGACACAGTTGCACACGAGATTTGCAGGTGTATTAGGCCTCCTTAGCTTCTGACCTACATGTATCGACCTGCCTAATTTACATTCGGCAGATTTATCAAGAAATAAACTTCCCCTAACTTTCAAAGAGTTATCACAGAGAAAAAAAATTAGAAATGGAAATATAAACAGCTATACAAATGAGAGTAGAGGAAATTTGTCAATTGAATCCCTCAATTTCTTAAATGTCAGATATTTGTAGGAGTTCACCAATATAAAAATTATCATTTACACATCCTCTTCTGATTTCATTTTTCTTTCTGTCTGTTTTATTACATGCATTATAAAACTACTGAAAGTCGAGAGAATGTTAGATTCAGTATCTTTGGATCTTACTGAATGCTCAGTTAACAATATATTTAAGAGTATGCTTCGAAACATTCTGAATAGGAGTGTTCCATATCAAACATCCTTTTTTAAAAAAAAAAAAAATTCTGTCAACCACTTAATGGCAAACAACATTGTGACATAACAGCAATGAGATATGAAATGAAATATCAAGAGTGATATCCATAGGATAAAAGGGTACATGCAGGGTTTGACATTAAGGCACGTCCGACCGACTGAGTCTACTAAATGAAGGGTCCGGTCGGGTAAAAAGTCTGTGTACTAGACCGACTGGTCGTGTAAGAAAAAGAAATGGACCTATCATTTATTTTTAAACAAATCATTTCTTGACGATCAAAAAATAAAATGAATACGTTTCTAACTGCATTGTAGAAAGAAAACTACAAATGTTACAGACAGCATGACGGAAGCACTATTTGTTGGCATTCGTAACTACTCGGCCACTTTCCTAGAAAGAAACAATAAGCTTTTTATCCTTCATTGAAATGGCTGAGTAGTTCCGATTGTCCTTGTCGAAAGATTCACGTTTACGACATCAGTAAACCACGTAAATAGCAATAAAACTTATAATAATAATACTATTTTTATTATACTTAATTCTTTGAACATTTTTTTTATGGTACATGTGTATCAATATTAATATTGTATACAAGTTGATTAAATTAGGACTTGCATGACAAGCCACATGCTTATGACCTAGTTTCGATATGGGATGCGGAAAATGTTGTTATTTAAAATATGGATAAAATTCTCATCATCTGGGCAGAAAAAAGATTTATCACTGTTTTTTACTTTTAATATTTTTTGTCAAGTTTGGTCAGGGCTAGTGGTTAAAGGGTCAGGGCTAGTAAAACTTTGTCAGAGTAGCCAAACTGGTCTAGTATTCCAAAAGCTTAATGTCAAACCCTGAAATGTATGATAAAAATATCTTGTTGCCTAGTTGTTCTTGAGAAAAAAGAATTTAAAATGATCCCAACCAATATTCACTACATGTTTTTCTTAATCATCTTCCTCTTGAAAAATGGTGGGACACTGACTTCATTTGAACAAACTTCAATCCAATTCACCCAAGAATACTTTTTGCTGTTTGGTTGCATATGGCCCATTTAGGGTATGAAAATGTAAAAAAAAATTACAACAATGTCGACAACAACAAAGACAACAACAACAACAGACAACAGATATTTTTCAATCAGTTCAGTTAAAAAATAAACACAGAGCCTCAATGTATCATGAGTTTTCAAACAAGTACAAATCACTGTTAAATTTTCTGTCTTTGCACTATTTGATACTTTTGTTATTAAGGTGTCTGCTATTAAATGAATAAAATGTGAAAACCTACCAGCCTTCTCCATGAGGTCATTGTACATCTTCACCAAACCTGCCATGGTTATCTGAAATTCAATAAATTCAAGAAATGTTTCATAAACTGTGATAGGGTATTGAAAAGACCTGTCAGGGTTATAAATGGTTCTGGGAGAATTCAAGTAATGTTTAAAGAACAAGGCATGGTTTCCATACAATACTTGCCTGATGATTTTCTAAAAAAAGAAATGAAACTGGTGTAAAAGATGAAAACTAATGCTTTCCGAGTCATTGAAAATTCATGCAAAAAAATCATGCAAATTATTTTTCTCACACGTTTTTAATTGCTAATTGTGACGTCATAAACATGGGCATTTTCCCATTTTTTCTTCAAAAGTTGCAGAAGACACCAATTTTCAATGGAATTTTCTTTCAAAAAATGTTGTCCACAGACATCGCCCACAAAGATTATTTTTGATATGTGATTTTTTATTATTTTTTTTTTCACAACAAATCACAAAATAATAGTGGGTAATGGATGTGGACTCTTTTTTCTGAAGGAAAACTACCCTTGAAATTGGCTAATTTGAGGCTTTTTCTGTTAAAAATTACAGATAAGAAATGCATCACATTTATGACGTCATATTTGCAGAATGGTAATCCTTTATGCCATATTCTTTCCTGATTTATCACAGTCATATACTTGACTTATATTTTAGTCAGTTTCAATACTTTTTGATGACATTACATTTTTTAGGCACAATAAAGCTACCCGGTAAAACCATACCTTATTCTTTCCCGGAATGCCTTTAGAATTTTGGAGTGTCAGAATGGCCAGAATTTGTTATTTTAAATCGAATTTTAGTATTTGCACTTATTTGCAGGCACGTTATTGAAAAGTTTGAAAAATTGTTTAAAAATTATGTTTCATGAATTATTTGCAAGATGTGATCGTTTTTACAATAAGTAATCAATGTTCTGAGACGTCCAGTGCAGAAAAATCAGTAGGTGCAGCATTATATTTTCAAAGAACAGCCATGTAATCAAGGGAGATGAGCAGACGGTATTACACAGCCTGCATACCTTTACTTTTTGACATTATATTGATAAGGTATACATATTTTATTATAGTGAGCACAGCGAGAATTGTTAAGCGAGGCTTGCGAGGCAAGCTCAATATTAGACTTTGTAAGAACAGAAAATTTTGGAATGAAATCTGTACACACAATGAAAAATTGATCATTGTGGAGTTTATAAAAACAGATAAGAAATAAATCCTGTTGAAATTTCTTGCTAAACATTTGCTGAATGACCCTAACAAATAGGGCTGTCACGGTTCCAAAATTTTTCAGGTCAGGTCGCTTTTTCGGTTCAAGTACGTAATGGAATAAAAGCTCATGATTTGTATCATTTTCAACAACAAAAAGAATATTTTCATTTAATCTTAGAAATAGCAACATTATAACTAGTTTAAAGTAGCTTTCTGACTAGAAAACAATTTTACCAAATTATTTGAATCATCTTATAATGGCAATGTTCTAACAAATCTCTCGTTTTTGACGCCATTTTTATGGTAAAACCTATTCTATTGTACAAATCGGAACCAAACCAAATTTAAAAAACGGAACCGTATCTGACTCGAATTGTTCTGCGGTTCTAAGTCATTTCAGGTACCCGTGACAGCCCTACTGACAAATCTTTTAGAGGAGCTAGTCTTCAGTTGATACATTTTAAAGATATTTTTCATGATGCAGACTCTTTTCATTCAATTTTTATTGAAAATTTTTAATACTTTTGAAAATATAAATAAAATACTCTAAACTTTTCTCATTTGACAATTTACCATCTTGAGTTCAACCCTTGGCAATACATTGTAACTATGGCATAATAATTATTCAAATCAATAGATTGTCAGTTTGTTACTACTGTAAACAATGTTAAGCCCCCAAAATATTGCAAGATTTAAAGCTTCCTCAACTCCTGCACGAAAGAACAGTAGTAAGTTTGATAACTACATAGTATTACATGAAGAACAAGGGACCCTGAATAACAATAATAGAATGGTAAAAAAAAACTCTTACAGCTTCACAGAGGTTTGAAAAATAATGCATTATTTCATTTCTTTAATAATATTTTACTTTTGATCATTCTGATATATCTACTGGACGGCGGACACAGTGTCCAGCGTTGTTTACAAACAGATTCACAGGACATCACCATCAGGCAGGTGTTTTTCATCATTTCTGGGCATTCAGTTGTAGATATCTTAAAAGCAACTAGAAAATACTCTACAATGTCTTTCTTCAAAAATTGTACTAAGTCTATAGTTTCAACAGACGCTCGGTTGTCTCCCTAAGCTCCATCAACCTCTTTACGTCACATGACATCACAGCTAGTCGAAATATCTTGTGATACTTGAATGTTTGAATTACCTGATCAACATTTCAAATGTGTTTTTGATGGTATTTAACTTCACCTCAACGGTCTCACCATAAAATATATTATTAAACCAAGACCCAAGTACCTTTGATTACTAAAAAGAGTAACAATGCCCGACTGTTTTAAGCTACTTTAAAAGTGAATTAAGTGTGCTCATCCTGATAATGTGTTTCTAAGATTTACCTGATCAAAAAACTTTTATTTTGAAATCAGACATTTCAATCTTAAACAAGTTAGCTCTTTTTAATATCATTCAAATATTTTATGCATGCCAAAATCACCCCCGATGCGTGAGCAAAGCACATGTTAATGTTTACAAAATGTCTATGACACAACTTCATTGTTACAGTGTTATGTATGGTCACCACCGGTAACGCGTCTACCTTCAAACCAAAGATATAAATACCTGTCTTTTTTTCTGAGAACGTATCGCCTGATTTATCGACTAAGTATCACAACTAATGGGGCCAGTACTTACTCAACTTACTGCTACCTGATGTATCACCAACCACGCTGTTCCAAAGTCTGCACCCACCCGGCCTGGTCGTGATTCTCCAAACCAGTACGTATTTCTTGTACACCGTGCCCGATGTAAATTTTACACGTAAGAAACAGCTAGGTGAAAAATCCGCTGTTTGATGTAATATTACATGTAGAAAGACCTTTAGAATAATTACGGGACACACTTCATTGCTTGCAACCTACAAATAATTATTCAAAGGTTAATTGGCAGAACCAGATTGAAAAATTAAAAAAGAAAATTAAACTTCCATCATGTAATGTTATAAATATTACTGATAACATTGACACAGATTTGAAGGTGAAATTTTCTGTATAATATCACGACTTATCTATTGGAAAGCATTTCACACAAAAATATATTAAACATTTCATTTCATCCTAAAGTTATTGAAACTTCACATTTTTTATGAGTTTGATTGATATGTAAATGAAACCGGTGTAAAAATATGAAATTTTAATAACTTTTAGATGAAATGATTTTTAATATATTTTTGTGTGAAATTCTATTAAAATATATAAGTCGTAATATTATACAGAATATATTAACTTCAAATCTGTGTCCATGCACCTTTAACAGCTGTTACAAGACTGAATTTCTGCACTTGATAATGTCATTTTGTAACTTCAGATCATCGACTTCTCCAAATAAGGCAATTATTATTATTTACATTAAAATTAGAAAGAACTATGATTTATACAAGACTTCTTGAAATTTCCAATTAATAAAACTGTACGTCCTAAACAAAACTGATAATTTCTGCACACCCTTTAGCAATTGTAAAAGGTAGAATTCAAAGCCCTGCATCTCAGAATCCAGTTTTTGTCAGTACATGTATTGTAAAATTGTTACAGAGAGTGAAATACATTTCATATATACGAGTTCTATATATACATGTACAGATTTGCAAAAAAATCACTACACATCACGTTGAAGGAAAATCGTTGTAAAATATTTTATAAATAATCCTGACAATGCAGTTAATTATAGAGGACTATGCGTGTTTTTACCTGAATATTTCGAATTGCGCAACAATACATAATATTTAATCCGTTATAATAAGTTCACCTCTGTCCATATTATACTGTTTGCATAGACATGATTATGTATAAACTTAAAGTTGTAAGCATATGATATTGCATGATATTGCTGACTTCACTGATTTGTACACTGACATGTAATTGTACATGTACTTTAGTATGTGTTTTTGTAATCTGTTTACACACTGTATTTTTTTCTTGTATGTAACATTACTGTATGCCAATATGATTAGTGTATCAATAAATAAATTGAATGGAATTCGCAGTATAGCAGATCAAGAGTGCTTGCTAAAAAGTTCAAAATGTAGGTGTCAAGAATATCTGCATATTCAGAGTTGTGATTTAATTGTAATTTTATACATGAATTTAATAATGTGTTTTAGTAATTATGAAATGCCCAAATGATTTGTAAAATCAAGGACTTAAAGTGAATTGAGTTGTAAATGCAAAACCCCCTTCACACAACGAAAATGTGCTTAAGTGTGCAAATCTACACACGAGTAAATTCAAATATACGTAAGTAAAATTTAATTTGCTGGGTGTTCAGACGAGAATAATGTACCGTAAGTAAGTCTTCAGATTGTCATTTAAAATAAGGAGATTATCTAACTCTAAGCCTCAGCTAAGTTTTTGAAAATGTAGCTCAAAATTCAGGGACAATTTCAAAGGGTCAAAGTTTTTGGTTTCTTAAGAAAGGTCTTGTCACAAGGATTATATAAAAAATCAGTTATAAAGACCTAGCACTAACCGTTCAAAAGTCATGGTCAAGGTTATGTTTTTTTTTTTTAAGTAAAAGTCCAAGGTCAAAGGGTCAAAGTTCTTGGTTTCCAATGAAAAGTCATGTCAAATGTAATAATTAAAATATGAAAGCCTTAGCCCTTCTAAAATCACGATCAATGTTTTCAAAAAGCAAATCAAAGGTCAAGATCAAAGGAGAAATGTTTTTGGTATCCAATTTAAATTCTTATCACAAAAATTACATATGTGATGGTTGAACGCCCTAGCAGTAGCTATTCAAAAATTATGACCGAGGATAAAGTTGTTTTTAAATAAATATGTAAATCTCCTAGGTCAAAGTCACAAGGTAATCGTTTTTATTATTGGTATCCAGTAGAAGGTCTTGTCACATAAATAGAATTATGTGAAGTATGAAAGTCCTAGTATCTATTGTTTAAAAGTTATTGCTGAAAAAAAATGAAATTTTTGTGTAAAAGTGGTCAAACTACCTGTATAAGTTCAAGGTCAAAATGTCAAATTTGGTGGCACCTTAATTAAGGTCTTCTAACAAGGAATACACCTGTGAAACATGAAAGTCATAGCTTCACTTAATCAAAAGTTATGGTCAATGTTAAAGTTTTTGCAGACAAACAGACAGACAGATGGATAAACAGACAGGTAGACAGACGGACGGACATGACTAAAAAAATTTACCTCCCACCAATCTTCGATTACGGGGACATAAAAAATCCGACCTACTGATTGATTCGATCGAATTAAATTTATGACCTATACGGAAAATTTCTTAACATTTTGTTAAAAGTTGGAAAATGCTTTGACTTCTGCCTAAAAGTCTTGAAAATCAAAAGTCGTTGGGTGTAAAGAAGAAAGTGGATATTGCAAGCTTCTGGTTGACGTCTTCAGTAGAATACAGGAAAACTGGAAATTATTTGGTGTTGGTAAAGCTACAATGTTTGATTGCGAAAATAAAGTTTGCGAGTTCATTTTTGGAACATTTGTTTGGAGAATATAAATGTGTTTTTCAGAAAAAAGAATGAAATATGTGAAGAACGCGAACGTTGATTGATCTGAAAAAATCTTAGATAAATACAAATGCATGAAGAGGAAATAAACAGGAACCCCTGAAACTTCTGGAGATGTGATCAGGTGTCGACAGGGAGTAAGCATCCTGTGAAACCTTCACATTCTCTTACAGTCCTATAGCAATGTATTGATAGATTGTATGTAACGTCCCTCTCGAGAATGTTTCACTCATATGGAGACGCAACCGCTTACAGGTGGAGAGATGTAAATTTTGTCATACTCGGAACTGGGAGCCATTGAGAAGGGTTGGATCTTATTCGTGCCAGAACTTACTGCGACACGGGACCTTGGTTTATACGGTCTCATCCGAAGGACCGGTCTCCACGTCTAACAGTTGGATTCTAACCCCCTACGTAAGGATCAACTCCTTTCTTAGCGACTCTATAGCAGACGCCCTTACTACTGCGCCACAGCAATGTTTTGATCAGGTAGATGTAACATTCCGCAGTCGAATTCAATGTAAATCAATGGCCTACAAATCTGAATAAAATGGGTCAGCAAAAGTATGACCAATTGACTATCATTGCTTACACAATTATTATAACCAATATAGAATTTAAAAAAAGTTTTCAAGAGGTATATGGAGATAACGAACATAATTCAATATCAAAGTCCATAAAACAATACAAAATAGGAGCAGAGCAAACAGGGACCTCCGAAACATCAGAGGTGGGATCAGGTGCCATGGAGAAGTGAGCATCCTCTGCTGACCAGTTATGCCCCCCGTGTGCTCCTTGTCATGATCGGGAAAAAAACGGAAAAATCTGTCGTTAATTCAGTGTATAAATAATGGAATAACAATTAGTATGAAAAACGCCAGTCGGCATTTTTCTCTTTGATAAGTTGTATTTGCTGACAAGGTAATTGTATCGACCATAGAATTTACGAACTGATTACTAAAAATTTTAGCATGAGTTATTTTCTGTATGTCACCATTTTGGAGCTCAACAGGCACCGATTCCTTCATTATTCATCAAAGAAGAAAGTATGGTTTCCATACAAATTTTGCCCTGTGATTTTCTAAAAAATTAACTGGTGTAAAAGTTGACAACTCATGCATTTTAAATAATTGAAATTCAATGCAGAAAAATCATACAAGTCATTTTTCTCACACGTGTTTTAATGGTAATGATGACGTCATAAACATGTGCATTTTCCCGTATTTTCTTAAAAAGTTGCAGAGGACACCAATTTTCAATGGAATTTTCTTTCAGATGACATTGTCCACAGATCTTGGGATATGTGATTTGTTATTGAATTTTGCACAAAATATCAAAAAATTAACGTGGGCAACGGCTGTGGACACTGTTTTCTAAAGGAAAATCACCCTTGAAATGTGCCATTTTGGTGCTTTTTCTGTTGAAAATAGAGAAATGCTTCACATTAATGACGTCATATTTGCAGAATGGTAAACCTTCATGCCATATTCTTTCCTCATTTATCAGAGTCATTTATTTAACTAATATTTAAGCCAGTTTCAAAACTTTTTGATGTCATTACATTTTTAGGGCGCGAGAAAGCTAAAACCATACCTTCTTCTTTTAATTTGTCATCATACTTGATTGTGAGGCAAAGATAATATTTTTTGTGCACTTATATAAATTACTAGTATGTATTATATGTAAATAAAAGTTTTTATTATTTTTAAGTTTGTTAACTTCAAGATTTCTTTGCTTTTATATTTTTCTGTCATACATATTTAAAAATGGTAGCTCAAAGAGGGATAATTTCAAAGGAAGCAGTTAAGGGAAATACACTGGATACTAAAAATTTCAAAGAAATTTTGACAATTTGAAATCACAAGAATTTCTCTAAATCAACAGCTTTTAAAAACACTTGCGACTTTTCAACTTTATACACAACCATTCCCCTTAATAAATCAAAGTCCAGTCTTTTTCATAACATTGACAGCTGCTTTTTCAATATATATCGTAAATTTACGTACCTGGTCATTGGTCATTTGCAAAATTATTTCGTTGAAACGCATTCTTATTTCACACATAAGTACTCCGAAGTAGATATCAAAGAGCTGCTTGAATTTCTAATTGACAAAATCTATGTGGTTTTTGGAGACCAGGTATTCCAACAATTAATTGGAATTATCATGGGTACAAATTGTGCTCTATTATTAGCAGACCTATTCTTATGTTCATATGAAGTAGATTTTGTGCAAAATCTTATGCGTGAAAAGAAGAAAACACTTTCTTCAACTCGACATTTAGATATATCGACGACATATTGTCAATTAACAATT